ATGACATTCAGAGAACATTTTTTAATATATAAATTTGTTGTGATGTTGTTCTGACAATCTTGTACCATATGGGTCAAAACATACAGCAATTGTACAGCACCGTTTAGGTATACAAAATCACGTTTATCTCAATGATCTTGAGCTGTTCACAGAGCATCAATATTTTGAAAACAAATGTTGAATTATTTGTGTGGTGATGTTGCATTGTGTGACGGGAAGTTAAAAAGTCACAGTATCACAACAGCAAATAAAGTGGTACAGTGTATACATGCAAACGGAAGACCCAAGTGACGGCTACAGCTGTTCATGCACAGCCATGTAGATTCCCCTTTCAATTGCACTTGGCATGCTTTTATATTAAGCAAAAGGATAATATTATTATTTTGATAATAGATTAAAACTTAAGTAGGGTCTTATATTTTGCGAGTCTGTTGTGTTGATGGGTGTTTAGGGTCTTCTTGTCTCCACAGGGGCATATTTGTTTCCATAGACAGCCTTACCTGGACCAGCAGTAGGGTCTGGTGCCCCTGCAATCGCATTTATGTCTTCTTCTTGCTCTTTCTGTCCTTTGGACAACAGCTTATCAAGCAGCTGTTGCGCAGTTTCTACTGTACGTTCATTCTGGTGTTCACATAAAAGGTACTGAGAAAATTTTAATAACTGTTCCCGGTCCAGCAAATTAAGTGAATCAGAGACTGGCATTCGAATTGTCACTGTGTTCTTGTCCTTTATTCTTGTCAAACATGTTGCTATAACATGTGCGCACCAGTTTGTAGACTGATCACATGAACAGTGAGCTGAGGTTATCTTCCCACGATCAAAGTGGACAGTAACATAATAACCATTTCCATTACCACTGCCCCTGTTGTGATCAACTGTCGCACTCAAACGGAAGCCTACAACAATAAAAAATATCAAAACATTTCATCAATATTGTTAAAGTAAGAGTGCTTAACCAATGATTTTTCTTTCAAAGAATACATCTTTTAGATATCATGTTACCCCACTTTTTTAGCCCTGTTATAAATTATTGTAAACACCACCACTGACATGGTATAAGAAAACTGAAATGGCAACAGACAAAAAGAAGAAGTTTTGAAATGGTAATCATGATGAACTGCAAATGCAATAGTAGAATATCAACAGGGACATGGCTTCCTCCTCAGTACATGTGGGTGAAATGACAGGTTTTGAAATTCAGTTTAGCAACATTAATTTTGCGCTTTTTTTAAACACTTGACCCTTTTTGATATACATGTATATATTTTTTGAATATCACCTTCTCAGATAGCAACATGTATTATGTAAAATGCCCTCTGCATGGCCTCTTTATTCTGCAAACCCCTTAGGCATGTGTTAAATGCATGCAGTATAGAGTTCTAAAGTGATGACATCATAAAAATTATATTTGTGAAATTATGGGATTCGTCAGGATATTCTGAAAGAACACGTTTAGACCCAAGTCAAATTTAGAAGGATTTGTATGGTGTCATCAGAGTATAGCTGGGCTAATATCTCAGAGACAATTTGCAAATTTTGCAATTTGCCCCAAAATGCTAACAATTAGCATTTCAGGGCAAATTACTATTGTTGGCAAGTAGGCCTCTTGGATGTTGTTCTTGCAGAATATCCTGACGAATCCCATAATTTCACAAAAGTAATTTTTTATGATGTCACACTTTAGAACTTGTTAGAGGCTTTACTTTAAGTGACCATGCTTCAATCATTTATAAATACAGCTATGGACGTTGATAATTTACGGAAGAGCTTACCAAACAACTACATGTAAATCAAAGATAATTTGATAGCATTACATGCAATTCATCCTTCTAACATAATTATACTATAAATAACCTGCCTTGTCAAGACCCAGACGGGTCTGGGGTCAATGGCCCGTCTAGGAAGGCTTCCTGACTCGACAGATGAAGTAAATATAATGTTAAAGTAAATATAATGAAAAAAATTAGCACGTGGTCTGGGTGACCCCTCAAATTATCTAAATGACCCCCAGAATTAACTGGAACACTGATTGTATATTTTAAATATAGACTGGTCTCCACAGGTACTCCAAGCTCACGAATGAGAATCAATGTTGCGTAATTTTATAACAGAAATATTATAAGGGTTTGTATGGGGATTTAAGGGATGATTATTTAGGGATCGAAAATAGTAATAAAGGATGAAAAAAGCTGGAACTATGATTTGAATTAAAATGCTAACATGACCATAGAGTGTTTTCACATGACGTCATGGCAGCCATATTGGTGTCCCAAAACAATGAAATGGCGGCCATTGTTGGTGTCCCGAAAGAATCCTTTGGGAGTTGAACTCTTTTCTTATGCTAAGGCTTTCTTTTGTTTCAATAAATTTGCATAGGTGTTGGCCACGTGAGTGAAAACAGTCTATATATAAGTATCGTAGACAATTCATGCTTACTGCCACAGTATAAATGAAACAAGATCAAAACATGCCTGCCGCATTTAATTATCAATGTGACATATGGATCAAATTCTATGACCATTCTTGCCTTTTTCATCACTTGCCAAAAAAACTGCCCTTGCCAAGGGGTTATTTTGGCAGTTGGGGACACATTTTAGTGGCCATTGCCATTGTGGAGAGGTTTAAATAAGATTCAATGTATGAACTGTCCACAGGGACAAAGTACAGTGGCTGTTGTGTAGAGGTGGCCGCTAGTGGAGGTCTGACTGTATTATTACAGTGTACATACAAAAAAGTAAAGAAACAAGTACAGTCGACTCTCGATAACTCGAACCCTCACTAACTTGAACCTTGTGCTAACTCGAACCAAAATCGATTTCCCTGGATTTCCGTCAAATATTCACTGCAATTTTACCCTCAGTAACTTGAACCCTCAATAACTCAAACTCCCGCTAACTCAAACCAATTTTCGTTTCCCCTCAGGTCATTTTCTATATAATTTTACCCTCGATAACTCGAACCATGTTTTGAGCCCTTAAAAAGTCGAGAAAAAAGCCGTCTACGGGCGTCCGAAACATTGAATTTTGGATTTCCTGTTGATGTGTTGTAGGAGTATAGTTTACCAGTGGTAGCCTGTTCCAGGCTCCGAGATGGTGGTGGAAAGTCGTTCAGTAATAAAAAATGCGAAAAACGCGCCAGGACTGGGGAGAGACAGGGCGGCGGAGCCTGTACGCATTTTTTTAACGGCCTGTTCCGGTATATCAGCTCCTGATATACCCTCTGATTGGTCAATTGTGACAGTTAACATCATCACCTAGTAGCGTGGTCATTAGTTTGTCATCACCAAGATGGCTAACGCGAATCGCGCGTGTGATCTTCATGAATCGGCGTTGTCTTGCGCTTTAGACGAGTGTCTGCGACTTGGCTCGCGGTAAAGATGTTTTCAGTATTATGCCCACCGGTTGCCGCAAGAGATTATTCTTTCAGCTATTCCCACGCTTGGCTAAAGCTGCTCTAATCCTAGAAAACTCTGCGATAATAGTCGTTTCGCCGCTGATATCTATAATGCGAGACCGAGTGGAACAACTGAAAAAGCTTGGATGTCCGGCCGCAACTATTTGGCATCGGTGAAGAGGGAAAGGAGGACGCGAAGAAAGCGAGAGAAGGAAAGTGCGAAATTATTTTCGGTAATCCGGAGTCCTGGTTGATCACAAAGTGGCAATAACAAAACAGTCCAAAGACTGTTAAGCTTAATATTCCGCTATTACCAAGGGAGAAACTACGCGCTCCAGTCAAAAGACTCACACTATTTCCAGAGAAACACTATCAAGCTGGAGTTTACTAAGTCACAATGCAATTCTCCTTAGTTGATGTAGCTTAAGTTTAAGCTGCACTTCATTCTTATAATTCTGGATCTGTAAATCACTATCCGTGATAATTTAACATTCTGCAAAGAAAACTAACGAGCTGGGCCCAGCGTGATACAACATTGCAGAAAAATATTACATTAATTCACGGACTAAAGAAAATCACTTAGTTAGTCAGATCCAGAAGGCACTTTGGAGAAAATTAAAACCCTTATTCAGCCGCAATAAAAAGCTTTACGCTTCTAATTAGAGGTCATGATCAAAGAAAATGCTCTCTCATCAGAGGGCAAATCCTGCCGACCAGAAACAAACGCCGTAGTAAATCGATATGTGTGCCATGACCTCTCAGTGTGAAACAAGCGGCTAAAGTCACATTTGCCCAGTGACAATGTAGAACCTTCCAGAGCATAACCTCAGTACCCATCAGAGGAAAAAACTTACTGCCCCCTTTTATTGCTATAAACTAGAGCAAAAAAAACGGATGCTCTCACAGGATAACGAATTCGAAGACATAAATTTCCACACATGACACATCGCACAAGGAGTTCGCGTCGCGTGCAATGCTCACGCGAGAAACTTGAGAATGATTGTAGCTAACTGAAGTGTTAACAGTTTTGACAGCCGAATCCAGACGTGACAAAAATGGGCGGAAGAGGGTCGTTAAAGAAATGCTAACAGGCTCTCTCTCCCATTTTTCCCGCCGCCACCGTCCCCTTTCCCAAGTCGTGCCCGTCTTATTTTCGCTTTGCTCGTTTTAATATGTTCCCACTGTACTATCTGAGAGCCTGGCACAGGCTAACCAGTGGAGGCTGATGTAGATTGTCACAGGCTAATGTGAAGCAGCTTTTCTTCCCAAAACAGTAAAACGCATGCTCCAGTTAGGCTATGTTTTGTTACATTACCTTGTGATTTATAATCTAGAAGTATCTTTTAATTTTCACTTGACATTTCTACAATTAAATGTGATTAAGATGTTCACTGTGCATTAAAAACTGCTTTTTACCTTACTTTCGGCTATTTTCTTCGAACTCCCGATAACTCGAACCTTTTTTCGATTTCCCTTGAAGGTTCGAGTTATCAGGAGTTGACTGTATTTGTTTTAGTACATGACTACTCTCTGGAACCTGAATTTCAGCTGTTTTCTCAAGTTGCTAACTACAATGGAGGACAAAAGAACTTGGGACTGTGTGAAAA